AGGAGAATAGGAGGGGGGGGGGGGGGGGGGGGGGGATTCCATCAATTAAGAAGTCAATTGATGGAACTCAAAATTGTTATGTTCAAATGAAGTGTTATTCTCTTGACCGCAAAAGGTAATAATCAGCAACGACACATTTATCCATTAGGATGTCTGCAAGCAATTTGAATCAAATTGTGCAGAAGCAACGAGCATTATCCATTAGGATCTCATTCTCTGGATACTAGAACGAATCTACCCAACTTCAGACTTTTCTCAGCTTGGGATGACTGTCCATTTGCTTTGCAGAAATACACGCCTTACTAAACAAATCAAATTGAGCAGGCTGCTCCATCTTAGCTTGGAATGGATGTTTCAAGAGATTAACATTAGTTTGAATCATCCACGGGCCTGTAAGAGCGCGGCATGCTTTGCCTTTTGAGCTTCTGTACCGCACGATCCAAGGCTAAAGCTCAACACAACCCACCCCTCAATTCTGAGTTCCCGTGCCTTTCCTGCACGTTATCAAGGCATGTCGTTACTTCTTAATGAAGTAGCTACGGGTGCATTTGTTCCGTGGAAAATGTTTTCCTGACTATGGATTTTTTTTCGAAATAAATAATTTTTTACTGTTTGATATATCAAGAAAAATATTTTCCTATAATATGTATTATTTCTCATTTATGATTTTTTAAATAATGGTAATAAAATAAGAAAAATAAGTGGATGGTGATGGTAGTCGTGAGATTATAATTGTTATATTTGTGATACTAATAGTATTGATAGTAGACTGGTAGCCACAAAATGGTGGTTGTTATGGCAATGATAACAAGAGCAATAATGATGGAATGGTAGTTACTTTTTGTTGTTGTTGCAAGGATAGCAGTATTTGAGAATTATGACAAGATGGTGGTAAAATAATAATTATATTGATAATAAAATGGTGATAAAGCATTACGGTGGAATGACATAAAATAATGGTTATATAGTGATTATATCTATAATTTGAGTGGTTGTATTGGTGGATGGCCGTAGCTGATAGAAGGCGTGGTGTTGATGAATATTATGAAATAGTCGTGCCAAAAAAATAATCCCCTCTATAAATATTATTTTATTTTATTTTTGTATCCTATTAAAAATATAAGTCAACCATTGTACTATCATAAGCTCATAAATATCTCAGGGGCTTTGATAAGGATGGATAGATTATTTGCTGGTCTTTTTACTAGTTTTACTTTTTCATTAAAAAAGATATTCAATTAACTCTTAAATTAAAGCTTACGACATTTTAATTGATCTAAGTGAAAACAGTAGAAACAAATATGTTGTAAGAGATTTTGATTTGAAGTTTCCGGTTTAAAAAATCTCTCTTATCCTCCTCACCTTATCACTTTCACACATGGCATGCACCTTTACAATTTTCACACATAAATCTTGTTTCCAATCCAATAAATTCGTGTGAAGGAAAATCCAATATATTTCCTACCATAGCTGTGATTAGCTAATAGCTGTTTCCTTACTCGTGCGGCCATACCCATTTGTAAATATCGGATCTTTCACTGTAGATTTCCATGTGAACTGCAAGTCTTTTACCATTTATTGTTTGTTTATGGGCAGCATCATCTTTGAAATTGCAAAGGTTGTCCAAAAGAAAGCAAAAAAAAGAGGGAAAGAAGGAAAGAAAGTAAAGAAAGATATACTTGTTAAGAAAACCGCATGCATTGCCAGCACGGAATCTTTCCATTAATGCAAGTTCCATTATGTATACGGTCCTCTAACGCTCGGGATATTGATGACGACTAAGAAAAAAACCCCTTTTGTTATCTGATTGACGGCCTAAAACTTCTTTTGACTCACCAACTGTATCCTGGGGCCCGTTCCTCTACTTAAGATTCTGAAGAAACATTAAATACTCTTGATCGCTCTACGACCAGACAGCCTCTCAGCTTCATAGAGTATGTGATTTATAAGTCCCCTCGCTGCACTGCAATCACGGAGAAGACGTCAAACTCGTTCCCATAAAAAATAGAACAAACTACAAGTCGAAGTGTATCCTACAATCCACCTTGGTATTCGACCAAACAAATTAAACAAGGAGCTGTTTTGCACTTTAAATATAAAACAATAAAATTTTCATCTTGGTTTGCCTAATCAAGTAATTTGCTTCTAGATACTCGACACATAGCATGCGAAACCGTTCCTAAAACATGGACATATGGCATATTACATGAAATGAAACAAACACAAGAAGAAGCTAAAAATTAACATTGTGGAAAACAAAGCGAATTTCAACTTACTCATCCTTCAACTTTTGAATTTTCTCTGGATCAGTCTCATGTTTGTTTCTTTTAAACTGCTGCCTTACCATATTGACAAGAAGCTCCGTGTTATGTTGCTGCCAGGATAATTAAAACACAAATATTAACACATCGACTAAAAATAAGTAATAAGCTAATTGAAACAAGAAAATACTGATGGTGCCCCCTTTTCTTTTCTTTTCATTCTTTTTTAAGAAGCCAGGACTAGATTCTTTAAATTCCATTGCAGAGAAGTTACTGCAAGGACAGGAAATTACAAAAACCCACACGGGTGGAGTTACACACCAGATCACCAACAAAGAAGAAAAAGCCTAGATCTTAAAGCCTTAACATGCCACCTCTTATAGCTTGAACATGTCACCCAAGGAGGATGGAGTGTTAAAACAACAACCAGTAGCATTCTAGGTGATGTTGATGAGTGCCAACATGGCTCATCTAACATAACTATACAACAAACCAAAGTAAGAGTTGAATACCAAAATCAGTACCCCAATTCCACATCAGAGTACCACCATTCAGGGCATCTTGGATAACCAAAAAAAATTTTTGGTTGACCTTTCATCAACAAACCTTGTAGTAGAGTATGCTCAAAACCCAACTGTTATCCAAAACACAAAGTATAGCCAAACAACAAAATCAGATGGTCTCTGAACCCCTTGCCTTGCTAACAAATCAGCCATGCTACTCCCTTCTTACAAAGTATGGAAAAAACCTACTTGATCACACGGCTTCCTAAAAGACTGAATTAACAAAACCGACATGGTATTTCCAAGGCTTATCCCTGCTTTATCCAACCAACCACCAATGCTGAATCTGTTTCAACAACCAGTCTGTCACCAATCATCATACCTCTATTAATTGAGATCACAAGTGCTTTAAGTGCAACTAGCAGTGGAACAAAATTAGAATTTATAATACAAGCAACTATTGAGAACGAGAAACTATATTTCAAAACCCACCAACACCAGCAAGCCCAAGCGTACCAAGCAACAAGCCATCAGTATTCAACTTCATCAATCCAGGAGAATTGCAAACGTAATTTCCTATCTAATAATACCATCTGCAAATCAAACTAAATCAGAAGAGCTATATGGAAAGCCATCCATGGTTACTTTAATTAATCCAGACACGTAGCACCTTTTAGAAAACTAACTCATCTTAGCAAGCCAAATCGACCAGTATAACATAGAACAACATATTTTCTCAGGAATTCTCTGCAACTAGAAACACCCAGCCAATAGAGCATCCATAGACGGTGGACAACTCCATTGCATGCCTCATCAGAAACACAAACTGCTCCAAATCAGCCAATGATTTCGAAAATTAAAAATAACAAAACAGTCTCCACTTCACAGTTACTCTGAGTTGCATGCATGGATAATACCTCCACTCTCAAGCTTAGAAGATGTCTAGTGTTAGCTCTAGAGGCCGCACAAAATTAGCACCTTAGCAGGAGCTACTCCGGCACAGTCTGACTTATCTAGCAGCTATGTTGAGTGTCGCTAATCTAATCAATGAGCTCAATTAATCAAAACATAAATAAGTAGAGAGAAATTATTTACTTGATGACCAATATATTTAGCTCGTCGAAGACATTCACGGTAAAGCTGCAATTAAAGCCATGAAAATCAGGGATCTGAATAATTACTACTAGTGTAGATTTAATTGAGGCAGAAATAAAATGATACTTAACTCTAATCACGTTGTTGGCTAGTTCAGGAGGCAGCGCAGTTTGCAATGACGGCATCGTTTCTTGAGAGAGAGAGAGAGACAACTGACGCGTGAACGAGCGAGTGTCTCAATTTGCTATTGCAGCGGTGAAAATGAAAAAGAAACTGCTTGGCGGTGCGTTTCTGGTGCGTGTTGTTGCACTTATTGGGTTGTGTAAACTGGAACATATAGACCTACTTAGCCCATTTGTTGGTGGGCTTAGACGATTAGCTGGATTGTTTTCAGAGAAGCGTGTGTGTGGTTTTCGTCTCTTTCTCTGCTTCCCCTTCAGTGGCAACCCAACGGTGAAGGGGCAATAGGGCTAAGCGCGTGGTTAAAATAAAGTTGTTTCTTTATAGTATATTCATGTAGATATCTATTTGCCTTTCCTTTTTCGTTGCTGAGTAATTTGATAGATGCCCTTGATTTGATATTGGAGATCAACATGCTGGTGGTAGTTTTATAGTTTGAACTTTAAATATGATAGCTTGACTGTAAAGAAAAGCTATAAAAATCAAGTCCACCAAAATCCATTAAACTTAATAACTCCCTACGATTAGATATTTTGAGTTCATTTCAAAGTGTAAAAAAACTGTAGATTTTTTTTTTTTTTTTGTGGGGTGGTGGGGGCATCGGTGTATCTTCTTGGTATGTTAATACCTAAATCTTCTTTCTCAAAAAATAAAAATAAAAACTCAATCTTTTATATAATAATAATGATGGTAAAATCCACTCTAATCTATGGCACTACGAAAGGAAATAAAAAACAATCAATTACACAGTCGAAGGTAAGAAAAAACAGCCCGTGTTCTACAACATCATATGTGCCCTTAATGTTCCTGTATGTAACGCCTGTCCTATATGGTACAATAGTATTGGCAATAACCAAAACTACTAGTATGATTGCAATTATATCTCAGCAACCAACAGAGGAGACCTCCCCTTGACTCTCAGGCTGTCCTTCTCTTAAACAATTTATAGGAGGAATAGTCACTGTTTCTTGAGTTCCATAGGCATTCCAACAAAAGGGATCATCCATCAATTCACCTTCTTCAGGGAGAAGCTCAACATCTGACAGAATTATATCTGTGCAGGCTACTGTGTCACTACAAGCAAAGTGTATTGGTGGGGTTCTAACATCATATGTGCCCTTAATGTTCCTGTATGTAACGCCTGTGACATAAACAGCTGAGGTCTCATTTAGACAAGCCTTCGATAGGCAGTAGTATTGGTCTATGTTCATGCAGTTCCTAACATTCTCCATTTGGATGTTTTCAAAGTTTATGTCGTATACGCAACCCGTGCCGCCTTGCCATGTCTTGATCCTCAGTCCATTGTCTGATTCTTTTATTACTGAATTTCGGACGGTTATGTTTCTTACACATGCCTGGGAATTGTGCACTCCCAGGCTTCCAATGCTGCAGAAAACAGAGGGAAAATGCAGAGTTTTAGAATCTTGAACTAGAGTTAACTTGGTGCACCCTATATAAGTAAATTCAACAAGAATATGAAAATCATGTGGAACTTCATATTTGTAATTCTATAAGAAAAAGAAAAGGAAAAAGAAAAAACACATTCAATCAACAGGCCTTGCCTCAATAGATAGTTTTCTCTATAAAATTTTAGCAAAAATGCAAAATGGCATTTTGCTATGTGACGATCACGTCAAGGTGGAAATCAAGTTCTTGGCTAGGTTTTTTTTTTTTTTTTCCTTTCTAAATCAACTTTTTGAATTACTTTTTTGTGATAAATGATAAATACTTCTGTGCGTCGACAAAATGGTATTTATCAAACACAGAAAAACTGTCAAATGGCCATCATGTTGTAGGGCCAAGCATAGCCTCAACTGTAATGAAAAGAGACCAAAAAATAGCTTCACACAGTGAACTGGTGGTTGGTGGTTAAATACAACCATGATACCTATTTAATTGAAACAGAGAGAAGATTGTACCTAATCCCGTGACTGGGACCACAGGTGAGACCATCTATATCAACATTCGAGCATCCTGTCCCGATCGATATGCAATCGTCACCTGTTTAATTTGAGGAATCCATTATTAGAAACAGCTTGATAGCAGATAATTAATCTGCAAAGAGAGATTATAAATTAGAATGCGTTGTATTTTTTTGTAGTTTCTCGTACCGTTGCTAATGGAAGAGTCGTATATGCCAACAGCCTTAGTGTTCTCTATGTGAATCCCATCAGTATTGGGGCTAAGTTTAGGGGAAGATATGGACAGTTTTTCTATCAAAACTCCTTCACAGCCATCAAATTTCATATGGAATTGGGGACTGTTCTGTATTCTTAAGCCACTGACTGTCAAATTGGAGCTCATGAAGAAGCGAATTAACTGAAACAATTAACAATTTGTAGCGGTTAAAGTATGGCGAAAGTATGTAGTGATTGATTCAATTTTTATCTAAATTATGTGGAGAAAATTTTCACTTACAGCAGGGCTATCACACGGTCCTTTTGATGTCGATCCATTTGGGCCCTGGAATCATTTCACATTGCGACAGAAAATGTTAATTTGGTTCGATTACAGAATTAATGAAATGCTGACTTCATTCAAGAAATATTACCCTGTGAGGTTTGCAGGGTAGATCCCACCATTTCTCTCCATTTCCTTCAATGGTTCCTTTTCCAGTGAGAGTCATACCGTCAAGTCGATAAAACACAAGCCATTGCTTTGTGCTATCTTTTTCTGGCCAGCAATCCGGTCCATCCGGCGGCATCAGGTACCCATCCACCTATTCACATTACAATTTTCTGTAAGCCACAGTAGACTAGACATGGCAAGGTTATACAAAAACAATCAGAATTATGGATATAAATGTTTTACCTGAAACACAAGTCCTGGCTTGCATGGACCTGTGAAAATTGTTGAGGTAATCATGAAAGAATGACCTGAAGGAGCCAGAATAACACCAGATTCCACTCCACAAGCTTCTTTCCAAGCCTGCCTGAATGCATCGGTGTCGTCAGTGGAACCATCACCAATTGCCCCGTAATCCATTACATTGAAAATGCAGCTTGAACTGGTATTTCCAGGATCGTTCGGATAAGGGTCTGCAGGGATTGAAGGAGGATTAGAAGGGGATGAAGGGGCAATGGGGTTTTGAGGATCCGGGGTATCATCAGGGGGTGGAGAAACGGGGGACCCTATATTTTTGGATCCCTTGTTCTTTGGCTTATGGTAATGGTACCTTCCTTCTACATTGCTTGAATTGTAAAGCAGAAGGGACACCCCAATGCAAATGGCGAAAAAACCACGAATGATCTCCATGAAAATGAAACGAAGGGTGGTGGTGTCACTGTTCTGTGAGAAATAAAAAGAAATCAAGAATTTTGTCAACGTAAAACAATGACAAGTACAGCTTCTCAAAGTTATTAAGTGAGAAACAGCACAAGAGAGAATTTTTAACAGCTGCTAGGGGCCTCAAGTGAAGTGGAAGGGGGGTTGATTTATACTCCTATAAAGGACCTCCAAAAAATGGTTCTGTTGTATATGGTCGGCACGTGTCATGTTCCTGTCGATTGAAATACTATTGTTTCTTTAATAACAGTTGGGGATTAAATTTGGAGGATTGACCTTGTGTGGCAAATTTTGCAGAACGCGCTTGAAAGTTCAGTGGAAAGCAATGTGTTCATCTAACCTTTTATTTCTGTTTGTCATGTTTTCTCACATTTTGTTTAGTTCTATTGAAACTTGGAGGGGAGAGAGGAAAATACTACTGGATCGCTTGGCTAAGCCACAATTGGCCGTTCTCTCAACGATACGATTAGTTTCAAGTGCACTTGACGAGACATTAATTCTATCATCTTAAGTAGTATAATTTCCCCTTCATTTGATATATAATACATCATACATGGTCAGTTTTCCTCTGTTGTTCTTTCCCCTTTCCAATAGAAAATCATTTGTTGTTTTTAGTTGCCTAAAAGGGGAAAGGTAGGGCTGGGAAGGATTTGTGTCTTCAACAGAGCTAGCTTGTAAACTGCCTTGTGGCCCATATTTTCTAGAGCAAAGTGCCAAAAACAGTTGTATTAGGCTTGCGTTGCGTGCAGGGCTTCTAAAACAACAAACAAGCATTCATAGACAAATCCCTTTTTTTTTTCTTTTCGGAAAAATAAACAAGGAATGGAAGCAAGTCCTGTCCTCTACATGCATAGCCTATGGATCAAACAGGAAACGTTTTATACAATCAGTGTGCATCCAGAATTTAAGTTAATTAGTTGTCATGATCACTGAAATCGGAGAGTTCCTCGTATAGCTATTTGCAGTTAATGAGGAATTAGAATTAAGCGGACTGTTCCAATTGAATAACTACACAGTCATTGTGCCTACGATTGAAGCCAGAAGATAAGATCCATGAGATGCGTATGGAAGGAATGCTAACAAAAGCAACCCAGCCTGATCCGTGGTGTTAACTAGAAATTGGCTCTACATAAAACAAAAGGGTGATTTTGACGTTCCAATATATGGCTTTAGCTTGTGTATTACTGTACGCATACAAAACCCTGAAGAGAGGCCAACAACTTAAACAGAGTCTTGATTGATTGTGTTTTGTAACTAACAAGTTAACTACATCTGCCAAACCCTTATTATGACAGTTATTTTAGCCGTATCCTGAACACGGACAATCAACCTTCTTACGCATCGCAACGCCATTCTATTTTAGTTTATGATAAACTACTTGTTAGGTTTTTCTATCATTATGTGACATCATTAAAGGACTTGTATTCATCCCTTTCATGTTAAACTACAAGGCAATTTGTTTTTGTGTTTGTAAACGTTTAACGTGAAAAAATATCAAATTAATGGATTTTTGGTGCTCTCTCATGGTTTTAATCTCAAAAAAAAAATTATTTTAATATATTTTTAAATAAAAATATAATTTTAAAAAGCATTTTCCACCGTAACATCAGATATATATAAAACATCAAAATTTGATTAGAGATGTCACATTCTCTCGCGGAATTTAATTCCCACTTAAATTAGTGCAAATAAAGATATCACATTCATGAAGAAAATATATTGCATCACAATACATGCATGATTTCATGTGATTCCATTTATTGTTGATCACCTGATCACTGCTCTTTCACGAGGTCAAAGAGAGAAACAGAAAAGGAGAAATTTCTGATTACACCAAACATATCGAGGTAGCAATCTGGTTACATATGAATGTTGTGGCTTGCAGTGAAGCGAATCAGTATCGACACTCGTGACTCTTTATTGTTTTCTAGCTCTCTGTGGCCAGTATAAGTAAGAAACATGTAGCAGGTCCACGACAACAGAATTAAACCATTCACGGGTGAATCCAAAACCTGTGGTTCAGAACAAAAAAATATTATGGTTGCAGTCTCTCTCGCGAGTGGACGAATCGACTGTTAAAACTCGCGTGACCCATTTTTTTAACACACCTTTACAGGTAATTATAGAGTCACCACGACTTAGGTTCATCGATCACGTCACCTCAATGGAGTTTACTCCACGTTGGCAGCTGAGAGGGCGATTCCAAGTAATCTAGCTGCTCCAACTGTTAATCAAGTAGGCAGTTGATGACGTGCTGAGTGAATGTGAACTGGAAGGTGGGTTTACGGCTTTTACAGAGGCTAATATTTGTCGGTGAAAATGGGAATTTATGGATTCAAGAACCTCCTTGTCTTAATCTATCACGTGCGTGCTCTCACGGGATTAGATTAGAGGCTAAAAAGTCGTGATGCTGTGATTTAGAATTTGGGTGCCCTTTTTGTACATGACCCCTCGAGCATTGATGCTCGAGTTTGTGGTTTAAAGTTATGACACGTAGCATGTCCTTTCTCTTTCTTATTTTAATAAAAAGAAAACTGTCCTTTCTCTATTTCATACCCCACGCTCGCTGAATTATTTGGCTTGGCGGGTTCATGCAGGTAGCCTGTTTATGTGGGACATTTCTTCAGCAATCATCATACCATTTCATCAGTTTTTGCGGAAAAAGTTAAATGATTATTCGTTCGCGGTTCGGTTTTATATATACTTCGAATTGAAAATAAATAGGGGCAAGTAATTTTATTTTTTATTTATGTGAGAATATTATAGGTAGTTTACGTATATTTTAATTAATTTTTATATTTTTTCAAATTAATAATCAGATAAATTTTTAATAATTATTAATATTAACAATCACAAGATGTTGGCAAAAATAGCATTCCATCCTTTCAATGTTTAAAGAATAATAGAACAATAGGTTTGTGACACGCGACGCTTTCAATCAAAAGCCATCGGTGATGTGTTTTCGCCTTTTTTCTTTTCTGTAACGAAAGGTTATTTATGAAGCTTCAATGCAATTCACAGTTCAATTAGGATCGCGATCCACGAGTTGGTTTTTTAAGTCCGCTTACATGTGCATTGAATGTGTGTTATTCGCACTGTATGAGCACAAACACACAGACACACACACGAAACACCCAAATAATAAATGAATCATATGTCGCAGCAGGTATTAAATGTTAATAATTTCAAAAACACCACGCCTTTAATGTATAATCGTGGAAAAAGATCTTTCAAGCTACAGAGACATGTTTATTTTCTTGACTAGAGATTAATTATCGCTTGTTAGTTTATTCTGTAATGCTATTTTCTGTGTTCAGCTTTAGACAATGATTGCTTTCAATGAAAGCAAGCTTTTCCTCCGTGATGTTGCCTTTTGTGATTTTCCATGATGATGATGGTATGTTTTCCGTTGATTAGCTTTTGGTTCTTATTCACGGAGCAATTGCGTTTAATCATATCATAAGATTCTTAATTCAATTGTACTGTTTCCCTCGTACGAGAACAAGATTGATATGGTACTATCACGAGCAGTTGAAAAATTATTACAGATTTTTGTCATGACATTGACTTGACGTATTCGAAGTTTTTTAAAAAAAATTAGAGCCTGTCACATAAAGTAATCGATGTCCTATTTTATTTATCAAATTTTATTGTCTTGAATCTCTAGCAATGTAGTAGTTTTCTTTCCTTTTGTTTTTGGTTTGGAATGTGTTCGATAATAGGATTGAAATTGTATTTAAAAAAAATTAAAAAATTTTGTTATTATATTTTATATTTTCAAATTGTTTATGCTGATTTTTAAATTAGTATTTTTATAAAAATATATATCATTTTAATACATTTTTAAATAAAAAATATTTTAAATTATATTTGCTATTATAACCCTGAACGAGTCATTAATAAAGCATGATAATTACTCTGAAGTAATCTTGCAAAACATCAGCCTACAAAAACTTTTCTTTAAAAAAAAATATGAAAAATATTCTTTTACTTCAAATATTTTTTTATTGTTCTCTTATATTTATATCAAAAATAATGTTTTAGAAAAATAAATAAATAATATTATATCAATATATTACTAGCAAAATAATGACTATCAAAATAACAAACAAGCATATTTATATTAAAAAAAAAAAAACAGTGATGTGGTGGTAAATGCTTGGATCCCTTAACAAACAAATTCATGCCCATGCTTGTTATGGACGGATTAAAAATAAAGATAACATGATTGATATCATAGCTCATAATAAACAAAATTGCAGTTGTATACTTTGCTCAATCCAACGTTGATTTTTCTAGCTAGTGTTTTATTTTCATTTCCATTCATTTTTTTCTTTCTAAAGCAGATAAATTATTTTGAGCGAAAAGGTGAATTATTTTGGGCGAAAAAATCTCTCATGCCTGACTTGCATCTGTTTCTGTCATCTGCCACGCGCATGTTCAAACCAGCATGTTAGAGAAACAAATAAATACAGTTTTCCTTGACGAGCCCTTCCTCTGTGCGAGTTGGAAGGAGTAGATGTGTAGTATATTATCAATTAAATGATATTTACTAAAAGAGCTTTGCTTTCTACTCTAACGATAAACGTCAGAGTTTGGCTCTTCGCAGTATTAATTAACAGTAAAAGTCCAAAATAAATTTGCTTTGGTTTTCAATTTTTTTTTAGATTTTTTTTTTTTAAAAATAATCACTCAACATTAAATTTTTTAGTTATTAAATTTTATAATTTAATTTATTTTATTTTTTATAAAGTTATTTTGAACTTATAACAACTCTGGTTACAAGTTTTAAAAATTAGTCATGCTGACTTAAATTATTTTCTAATCATATTTTTTAATTTTATTTTTCTATATTGTGTTTATTGAGAATTAAAATTCAAAATTATTTTTTAATTTTTTCATAGAATTATCACGGTCAAATAACTTGGCTTGTAAATTCAACAAGTGAGTCATGTTGACTTTTTTTTTTAATTGGTTATTTTTTAATTTTATAATCAAGTATTGGGTTGGTTGATGATTAAATTTTATAGTTTTTTTAACTTTCATGGTTTGCTAACCTGGATTCCAAGTTTTTTTTGTTATTTTTTTAATTTTATTCTTTAATATTAGTTTGAATATGAATTAAGCTTTGTATTTTTAG